CAGCTTTGACTAAATCTAGGCATAGATAAATACATAGTTGGTTACTTAAAGCCACAATGAAGAATTCACCAGGCAAAACTGGGCTACAGTTTACACAGATCTCTCCACACCACCAATTCTAACACTAAACCCTTAAATCACAGCAAATCTTTCCCAGAGGAAGAAATACAAAGGTGCAAAACTAGTACATACAATGGATTTCCCAGGGGCTAAAAAACCTCAATCATTACTAGAACAGTTCGGGGGGAGAGTACAGCTCAGCTCAAGTGGTAGAGCGCATGCTTAGCATGCATGAAGTTCTGGGTTCAATCCCCAGTACCTCTTCTAGGAATAAATAAAAAAACAAACCTAATTACCTCTCCCCACCAAAAAAAAAAAAGGAAAATAGTTCATTACTTAAAATATCTGAAAGGTAAAAAAATCAGTAAGAAACAGGGTGGGAGGTTCAGACAAACATACACTGGAGTCAAGAAAAGGCAGTTTCTTTTCTATTCTTCTCCATTCTAGCTGGGTATACTGAGGCTACACTTCTCTAGCAGGAAACCCTTCATCAGTGTGGAGAAAGGGCACTCTGGATAATGCTTCCTTTCCATTTTGACACACAATAGCACCATTTTTCTAAACAGAATAATGCATGGTACCTTGGATGAACAAAAGGCCATAATTTAGCCAAAGCCTCTGCTGACAGTCTGAAAGTAATGGCAACAAGTAACTGAGATTCGATTACTATGTTATCCTCATTTAGCACATGGTGTATCTTTATAACATGTATGCAAGAGTTACACACATGGGTGCCAGGTCACCTCCCACACTACACTAAACCAGAAAGATCTGCACTGTCAGCAAAGTCACACTACCCAGAATGAGCAGTTTCTTAGATTTGGCATCAGAGGCATCAAAAGACATACACGCAGCTTCTAAAGCTAGGAAACAAAACACCCACATAACTACTTTTGTTAAGTCTACATTTAAATAGTACGCTATCATGCTCTATGTGTAGAACAGATCAACCATGTAAGTTTCACTACCTGAATTCACTCCACATCATGGTGACAATTAAGTTTATACTAATAGAAGGAGGGGACTGTGTTACAGCAGAGAAGATGCTGAAGAGCTAGAAAAAACTAAGGAGGAAACTGAAGTGTATGTAGGAAATTCATTTTGATTTGAGTATTGTGATGAAGAAACATTCCATTTTTAGCATCTGAAGCTCTGTCTACAACAGTGATTTTCAAGGATGCCTGCCTCAAAAAACAAAAACACGCACAAGAAAAATAGGAGTCACCTAGGAGGAATGTGTGTGCCTGCACACGTGTTTTTTTTATATTACAGCAATACACTCACCTCACTCTCTTTGGTTTAAAAACCAGAGTTTATATGCGTCACTATTATTGATGGAAAAAGCCTTCAGGCAGGTTGTGGTAAATAATAATGAAGAAGTAAACTGGTATGTCCTGAATGACAATTCTAGGAAAGTCACAATTCACTAAATCTCAAAATTTCACAACCATGATAATGAAAGAATAATATCTTCTAGAGAATATCAACTTTTAAGACAGAAGAACAGAAAATTGGATAGACAATCCAAAATATAAAACAATTTTTAGTCTCCAATTATGGAATGTGAGCAAGGGTAAAAAGAACCCTTGGGAACGAGCAACTTTATCTAAATTGGTCAAATTCAACTCCTGGCC